AAAGTATATTATAGCATTATCTTGTATTTCTGTATTTCTCTCTCATGCTTAGTTAAATTTTCATTTGTTTAGGCTGTGCGCGGTGGTTCACGCATGTAATCCTAGCACTCTGGAAGGCCGAGGCAGGCGGATCACTCAAGGTCAGGAGTTGGAAACCAGCCTGAGCAAGAGTGAGACCCTGTCTCTACTAAAAATAGAAATAAATTAATTGGCCAATTAAAAATATATAGAAAAAATTAGCCAGGCATGCTGGTGCATGCCTGTAGTCCCAGCTACTTGGGAGGCTGAGGCAGAAGGATTGGTTTATTCTTTTCTCCAAGGGTACTTATATCTCACTATATATCAAACAGCATATAACATGCTCAAATATAAGTGACTGAAAAAAACATATGGGTCGAGGAAATTATAAAAAGTTAACTTTTTATATTCCAAGTAGACAGTTTCTAATAACTGCTATCAGTCTATAGCTGTACTATCCAATATACTAGAATAATAGTACATATGACTATTAAATTTAAATTAATAAAAATTAATAAAAATTAAAATTCAGTTCCTCATTTTCACCAGCCAAATTTCAATTGCTCCGTAGCTCCATGTGGCTAGATGCCTATGTATTTAGACAGTGCGAAGTCTAAAACATTTCTCATCATCAGAGAAGTTCTTTTGGATAGAGACCCTTTATATTGACACCACCCTTTGAGTTTGGCATTATTATTCTCACTTTATAGTTAAGAAAACTAAAGTTCAGAGTATTAGGTAAGCTTGCTCAAATGAGAAATGTTGGAACCCAGTTCTTCAAAACACAGCTCCAGGTGGGCTCCAAAGCTGGTTTTAGCTGCTACAACAGGATGTTCTCCTCACTGTCCTGCTACAGTCTCACCATAGGCGTCCTGATACCCGAAACACTATTCACTAAAGACTGCCTATCACGGTCCTGAGCCAATGAGAGTGCACATGCAGGATGCTGGCTATTCCCTACTCATGATCAAGTGAAGCTTAGCAACAGTCCTACTCAACGGGTACACCGTTCCCACTGTTCTAATGCTCTTAAGTAGACAGAGCCTAAGCCCACAGCAGCCTCTCGCTTGGCACCTACTGCATGTGCTCACTTTTGACATCTGCCCTTTAAGTCTTTATTATGCTCTAAGTTTCCCCTGGAATTGTGGTACAGCAGGGATCTGCCAGAGCCTGATCTCAATGTAGTGCCTTCTGTGGCTGTGTGCAGTTCTGCCCCTTCATATCACCACTCTCCGGATTTAAAGTCAGTGACCTGACCTGCTACCTTTTGATAGACAACTCAGGGGAAGTGGGCCTGGAGTTCAGCCAGTGGCTTTTGGCAACTTGGACCTTACTCTCAGGCTGCCAGCTCTTATCTTCTACAACCCCCTCCATCTCCCAGCAGGCAAACCAATCTCTATGCTTTGGTTACTTAGCTCCAGCCCAACAAGACCAATCAAACTGACTTCACTTGGCCTATCACTTCAAGTCTCTGAAATTAGTGGATTAGCATATATACTCTAGATTTATTCAAGATTATTTCCATTCATCAGAGAATTACAAAATGCATTTATATTTTGGAACTCTTCTAATAACACTGAGTCTGTAAAAACAGGGTGCAATCCGAGTTTTTGTCCACCTGAGTAATACTTTCAACCCCATGGAGGAAGTCTAGACTTGAACCAAGAAATCAAGCTCGTATGTAAGCCGGCATGGTGGCTCACGCCTGTAATCCTAGCTCTCTGGGAGGCTGAGGCAGGTGGATCCTTTGAGCTCAGGAGTTGAAACCAACCTGAGCAAGAGTGAGACCCGTCTCATACTATAAATACGAATTAATTGGCAACTAATATACATAATAATATTATATATATGGGAAAAATTAGCCGGTATGGTACGCCATGCCGTAGTCCACAGCTACTTGGGGAGGCTGAGGCAGAAGGATTGCTTGAGCCCAGGAGTCTTGAGGTTGCCTGTGAGCTAGGCTGACACCCGGCACTCACTCTAGCGCTGGGCAACAAAGGGGGTAGCCTGGCAAAAAATGAGACTCTGTCTCAAAAATAAAAATGTTTTACATAGAATCATAATACTGGTATTTTATTGCAGTAGTTTACTTTTTGCATCTCTACATATGAGCTATGTTTTTTTTGTTTTTTTTTTGAGACAGAGTCTCACTTTGTTGCCCATGCTAGAGTGAGTGCTGTGGTGTCAGCCTAGCTCACAGCAACCTCAAACTCCTGGGCTCAAGCATCCTTCTGCCTCAGCCTCCCAAGTAGCTGGACTACAGGCATGGGCTCTACCCGCTAATTTTTCCATATTATTAATATATATTAGTTGGCCAATTAATTTCTATTTATAGTAGAGACGGGGTCTCACTCTTGCTCAGGTTGGTTTCGAACTCCTGAGCTCAAAGGATCCACCTGCCTCAGCCTCCCAGAGAGCTAGGATTACAGGCGTGAGCCACCATGCCCGGCTTACATACAAGCTTTGATTTTCTTGGTTCAAGTCTAGACTTCCTCCATGGGGTTGAAAGTTATTACTCAGGTGTGACAAAACACTGGATGTGCACCCTGTTTTTACAGACTCAGTGTTATTAGAAGAGTTCCAAAATATAAATGCATTATTGTAATTCTCTGATGAAATGGAAATAATCTTGAATAAATCTAGAGTATAATATGCTAATCACTAATTTCAGAAGACTTGAGTGATAGGCCAAGTGAAGGTCAGTTTGATTTGGTCTTGTTGGGGCTGGAGCTAAGTAACCAAAGCATAGAGATTGGTTTGCCTGCTGGGAGATGGAGGGGGTTTGTAGGAAAGTAAGAGCTGCAGCCTGAGAGTAAGGTCCAAGTTCCAAAAGCCACTGGCTGAACTCCAGCCCACTTCCCCTGAGTTGTCTATCAAAGGTAGCAGGTCAGGTCACTGACTTTAAAGTCCTGGAGAGTGGTGATATGAAGGGGCAGAACTGGCACACAGCCACAGAAGGCACTACATTGAGATCAGGCTCTGCAGATCCCTGCTATACCCAATTCCAGGGGGAAACCTTAGAGATAATAAAGACTTAAAGGGCAGATGTCAACAGTGAGCACATGCAGTAGGTGCCAAGCGAGAGGCTGCTGTGGGCTTAGGGGTCTGTCTACTTCAGAGCATTTAGACAGTGGGAACGGAGTACCCCTTGAGTAGACTGTTGCTAAGCTTCACTTGATCATGAGTAGGGAATAGCCAGCATCTTGCCCATGTGCACTCTCATTGGCTCAGGCTCCGGATTAAGCAGTCTTTAGTGAATAGTGTTCATGATATCAGGACACCTGTGGTGAGACTGTAGCAGGAAGTGGAGAGAGAAACTCTGTTGTGAGCAGTTAAAAACCCAAGCTTTGGAGCCACTGGAGCTGTGTTTGAAACTGGGTTCCAACATTTCTCATTTGAGCAACTTACCTAATACCTCTGAACTTTAGTTTTCTTAACTATAAAGTGAGAATAATAATACCAAACTCAAAGGGTGGTTGTCAATGTAAAGGGTCTTATCCAATAGAACTTTCTCTGATGATAGAAATGTTTTAGACTCTGCACTATCTAACATAATAGCATCTAGCCACATGGAGCTATGGAGCAATTGAAATTTGGCTGGTGAAAATGAGGAACTGAATTTTAATTTTATTTAATTTTTTATTAATTTAAATTTAAATAGTCATATGTAACTATTATCTAGTATATTTGGATAGTACAGCTATAGATGATAGCAGTTATTAGAAACTGTCTACTTGGAATATAAAAAGTTAACTTTTTTTTTGAGACAGAGTCTCGCTTTGTTGCCTAGGCTAGAGTGAGTGCCGTGGCGTCAGCCTAGCTCACAGCAACCTCAAACTCCTGGGCTCAGGCAATCCTCCTGCCTCAGCCTCCCAAGTAGCTGGGACTACAGGCATGCGCCACCGTGCCCGGCTAATTTTTTTCTATATATATTAGTTGGCCAATTAATTTCTTTCTATTTATAGTAGAGACGGGGTCTTGCTCTTGCTCAGGCTGGTTTCGAACTCCTGACCTGGAGCAATCCGCCTGCCTTGGCCTCCCAGAGTGCTAGGATTATAGGCGTGAGCCGCCGCGCCCGGCCTTGTTTTTCTTATTACTCAAATATAATTTCCATGAGAGAAGGAATTTTTGTGTTTTGTCCACCTCTCCAAACCATGCCTAGAACAGTGCCCGGCACGTAGAAGTCCCTCAGTAAGTCCTTTTGAATGAATGACTGTAACTGATAACATAGGGCCTCCTATAAAATGTATTCTTTGCCCCATCTGACTTAATTCTGTGTATTTTCACCTTATCAGCCAGAACTCTAGAGGCAAAGTAGGAATAGGTGGTTATATTTAGACACCAAATCTTACTCTCCCACAGTGGCTAATTAAATATTGTTTTCATGTTATTAGTGGTTTCTTAAATAACTTCTTTTCCCAAAATCATTCTTTAAAGATATTATTTTTCCTAACCATATAAAACTCCCCAAATACTCTGAAATATTGGACAATTCTTTTAAGATTATGGCCAAAAGAAAATACAGAAACCTTTTCTCATGAATGGAGAAATGGAGTGGTTCATGATTTTGGTAGGAATTGTGGAATAGTTTGCCATTGGATTCCGCTTCATAACATCAAATGAAGTGTGATGGACAATTTTTTCTAGAACTTTGTCATCTAGTTTCTTTCCAGTAAACTCTGCCAGCTTCTGAATTTCATGCTTTGGGTTCTATGATCAGAGTCAAAAGAAAAGTGAACAGTTAATATGATTAGTTTTAAAAGAATATTAAAATGGATTAATGACAGTAACCAGTACCATGGCATGTGTTAACATTAAAAAAAATTATCATACAAATGCTCAACTTTCCAAAAATGAGTCATTTTAACATGGTGATCCATATAGTTCTCTTTTTTTATTAGTTGGAATTACTAAGCATTTTTTTGTTTTTTCTTTTTCTTTTTTTTTTTTGACACAAAGTCTCACTTTGTTGCCCAGGCTAGAGTGAGTGCTGTGGCGTCAGCCTAGCTCACAGCAACCTCAAACTCCTGGGCTCAAGCAATCCTACTGCCTCAGCCTCCTGAGTAGCTGGGACTACAGGCATGTGCCACCATGCCTGGCTAATTTTTTCTCTAGACATATTAGTTGGCCAATTAATTTCTTTCTATTTATAGTAGAGACGGGTCTCGCTCTTGCTCAGGCTGGTTTCAAACTCCTGACCTTAAGCGATCCACCTGCCTCGGCCTCCCAGAGTGCTAGGATTACAGGCGTGAGCCACCTTGCCCTGCCCTAAGCATTTTTTTCTTTGAGTCCCTGATGGGGTCAACATATTATGACTTAAATGTTTTACGGTCCTACGAGAACATATTAGATGGCACTGCCCTCACCTTCTTCATTTCCTCATAGAAGAGGTAGAGGATGCGGTGTTTGTCTTTGGCTTCCCACCATCCTTTCACGTGGTCATACCAGGAGCCCCAGCACACTGGAAGATGGGATGAAAAACAGAGCACTGAGTCACAGAGGTCCACCCAACAAATATTATACTGAAAGGAGAATCCCTGAAGAGAGAGGGAATGTCATATTAAAGAAGGCAGACCCCGACTGGTCTTAAGGAAATGATTCTTTCCTTGTAGGGTGTTTGAGGATTTTGAGAAAGGAAGGAAATAAAAGCTGAATTCTCTTACCTTTCCCAGCCAGAAACGTCTCAAAATACTCTTCCCATGTTCCTGGATCAGGAAGTGCTTTATTCATTCTTTGGAAATGGTAATACGATACCATATTGTCCTTGGGATTTCTTGCTACATAGATTATCTGGGAATGATGGGAGGAAAGGAAGAAGTAAAAACAGGATTAGATCTATGTATAGTTATTGCCCAGACATTAGAGTGGATACATTTCATACAAATGAGTTTTTTCGATGTTACATTCTTGTGATCCTGGCTTTTATGGGAGATGTAAAGGGTTTATATCAATTTGCATATTGATTATTGTGAGGAGCTGGACATTTTTTTTTAAACAAGTGAAGTGTTTTAAGAGGAAATTGAAAACTACTCTAAGGTTGTTCTAAGGAGTACAACTCTGAATTCCTTTTGTTTTTTACCTTACAGTTTTTCTCTAGGAAGGATGGCGGTACCAAGTGGATGGGAAGATGTGTTTTCAAGATCCGTGGTGAGGGCATTTCATTAGCTTGTTCCAAACCTGCAAAATTGGTTTTCAATCATTTTCTACTATATTTCGCTATGTGCTTCAAAATCTTGCACCTTCCATTATTACTAGCTTAGGAAAATTCAAGGCATCTGCAAAAACACTGTACTGTCTGTAGATCTGATTTGAGAGAATGAGTCTAGCATATGAACACGTTTTGGCTAGAACAATTCCTCACCATCACAATCAACCAAATAAATAAGAACCTAAAAAATTCAAACCCTTCTAAGATGGTTATATTATTTGGGCTCATCCTTGTGAAATGAAGTTAATTTCTAATTAGAGAATCAAAATTTAACTTATTATATAAACAATAACTCCATTAGGAAATGTCTGTAGTATAGTAATAGCCACACATAGTTAAAAAACAACAAAGCTACAAAACCTATTAGTAATTGTTTGAATGCCTAGAATTTTGAGAAGTGCAATTTGGTAGTAAAAATTCTAAGTACTGTAGTTAAGTGTGGCTATTCCATACTCACCACATCCTAAGGATGGGATTATCCATTCGATGAAAGGAAATCGTACATGAATAGGTGCTCGTTTACTGTTCTCAACATCACCGTCATTTTGTATTAAGTCCACTATCTCCTGAGTCCATGTTGTTCCTTATTTCACACATAAGATAAAAATGCATAGACATTTACTGTACTACATTCCTTAAAGAATGATCAAATACTTGTTAGAACATCTATGTGAATTTTAAAGCTAGGTTTATGATGGAATTCAGAAGATATCGTTTCCTATTTATATTTTATGTTATCATAATGTGAATTTTTATACACACATTCCAATTTGGCATGGACATTGATAAATACACATTTATTTTTTTTCCTGTCACAACCATTAATTTTGATTGTTTCTTTTTTTCTTCTTTATATTCTTTCCATCATGACATTCTACTTTCTTTTTATTTATTTATTTATTTCAAGAAATTATGGGGGTACAGACATTTTGGTTACATGTTATGACTTTGCCACATCCCAGCCATGATTTCAGACGTGCCCTTCCCCTGCTACAACAGTCACCGCGTCCATTAGTTGTGTGTTTACCCACCCCTAACCCTCTTATCCCCAAGGAATATTACTACTATGTGAGCACCTTAGTGTTGATCAGTCAGTGCCAGTTTTATGGCGAGTACATGTGGGTGCCTATTCTTCCGTTCTTGTGTTACCTCACTTCAGAGGATGGGCTCAAGCTCTATCTAGGAAAATATAAGAGGTGCTAGATCACCGTTGTTTTTTATAATTGAGTAGTATTCCATTGTTTGCATATACCATATTTTATTAATCCAGTCATGGATTGACAGGTACTTGGGTTGTTTCCACACCCTTGCTATAGGCAATGGACATTGTGTCTTTCTTAAGGACAATGCAGCTAAATCATTGGGAAAACAAATAAACTAAAAACCAAAGAAAGGCAGAATAAAAGGTCTTTCTCACCAGATTGTAATCTCTTGCAGAGTAATGATTATGTGGTTTTCAAACTGTCTTTTTTCCCCAAGCATGTAGCATAGGAGACACTTAGCATTTGTTGGCTGAATGAATGAATGATTAGTGCTTGGACTTGATATTAACCATTAGCACTAGTATCCATTTTCACTCTTTTCTCTGATTTCCCCTTATCTCAGGGGCTGAAAGGCTAAAAAGTGTATTCCCTAGACTCCTTTGCCACTAAGTTTCTTAAGGCTATTTAGATACTGCCAGTGAGACGCATTAGCCTGAGATTTGGAAGGCAGACGGTAGGTAGATGTCATCCTTCCTGAAGTGGTGGCTGCTGATGGGAGCTCCAACAGATAGAGATTTTGCGGAGGCCATTCCATGTTCCACAGCCCATTTCCCTAAACCCAAGAAGCTGTATCACCACTGTCACCACAGCTACGAGTAGAGGGGCCTCTGTCCCTGAGCTTCAATCTGTCTGTGTCCTGCACTGTCCCTGACTGGTATAGTGATATCATGCTACCAACTGAATCTTCACCCTTTGATGAAGGTCTATTATAGTGGACATTCTGGCAAAATCTAGGTTGGGAAGATGTTGGGTTATTTTAGGATGGTTTTCTGGGTTGATCTTTCCTATATTCTTTGGCAGCAACTCTCATTATAGACTTACTTTCCCATATTCTCTATTCAGTGCTTTTAAAGGTCTACAAGAAGGGCGTAGGTTAGAAAACAAGTTAAAAATTACATTTTATATCCTGGATGGGTTGGTCTGCTGTATTTTCTGGCACCAACTTTCATTACAAGGCACAGAGCTAGGATTTCTTTTGCTGTCTACTCAAAGAATGTTACAGCTGTTAGAACTAATTATCTGTGTTTACTCTGAATTTATAGCCATGAGTTAACATGAGGGCAGGTTTAAGGATCAGTAGAGTTTCAGGGATGAGTTGAATGACTTCTCAATTCATTCTTTAAAGGTCAATGATTCTATGATATATTTTTTCTTGGTTCATTCAGAATATTTATTATTCTTTTAGAAATTTAGAGTAGACTATTTTTGCCATCTATGCTTGTTTCTTTTTTCCTCTAATAAAAATAGCTTCCATTAATGTGCAAGGTTTTAGTGATGATTAAATATTACTTTAGATGGCAAGCATTTTATTTTTTGAGTGTGTTTTTTGAATTGCTTAAACTCCATTAATGCCATGAAAAACTTAAATGAACCAGATCTTAATGCTCACATTTGGCAGGTAGAGAAAAGATTAATTAGTAAACAGTGTACTGAAATGATAAGTCAAGTTGTGGATGAAATTAAGACAGTGAGATGTGATCCTCATCAGTGGCTACTTTTAGACATTTACACTTATAAATTTGAAATTGGCACCTTGCCTGTGCCTGGTCAAAGCCAGTGGATCTCCACCCAGCCAGCATCCCATGAGATACACCAACAAAGGGGACATGGGCAGAGCAATGGTGGCTATGCTTGTGCTGGAACTTCTGCTTCTGGCACTGCTCCTACCCACACAGATTTATTCAAATCAAACAACTGTTGTAACATTTTCAAGTAACTCCTTCCAGAGTACCTTGGCTGCCACCAGCAACGTGGCTGGCAGTGCCCTGCCATCAATAGCCAGACTGCTTGTGGTCTCACTCTCTCTTCTACATCTCTACTAGTAAGAGACTCAGGCCAAGAAGCATCTATACTTTTCCATTTTCTAAACCCAATCCAAATGGCATCTAGAAGTCCAATGTGGCAAGGAAAAAAACAGACCTTCATTGAATCTATTGATTCTACACCTTTTTTTATTGACATAGAAAATGTTGAGAGTCCCAAATTTGATTGGTTTGAAGAACATGTGAAGGGTTTGACTAGAATCTCAGGGGTCCTCAAACTTTTTAAACATGGGGCCAGTTCACTTTCCTCAGACCTTTGGAGAGTGAGCACTGTGGGCCCGGGATGAGTCAGCTGCTAAGCAGGACAGGCAGCGGCGGCAAAAACACCTGGAGGGTCAGATAAATGTGCTAGGTGGCCCACATGTGGCCCACGGGCCGTAGTTTGAGGATGCCTGGACTAGATGATGGATGCCAATATTAAGTCTGCTGGAAATTCATGTATAAGATGAAGAGAGGCAGCATCCAAAATTCTTTAAGATATGATTTCCTTGAAGGTACCTTAAGAAATATGGACACTTCAAACTGCCTTAAAATAAGAATAGATTTTTTTATCTTGTCTAGAAATAAAGTGTGTGATGTGTAATAGAGAGTCAGTTTTCATTTGGTCCATTAATTCTGTAAGGCCTTAAAACAAGTAATACAAAATGCTTTCATGATTCTATTTATATGTACATCAGAAGGATCATCCAGGTGTTACTGTAAATCCTCAATGTATTGTTTCAACAATACTAATTTAATGCCTTGTATAGATGAAGTTTTAACATTGTTAAGCTATCACTGTTCTCTTGGGTACTGAACTCTTTTTCCTAGGAGATGTTGGAGTTGACATTGGATTTGACCTTTTATGCAGTAATTGATCTTCTAGGGCAATGATGGATTGGAATCTACCCTAAGTCCAAGCATCGTGAGCACCTCTTGCTTATCCTTATAGAGACAAATGGTAGGCATTTCCCATCACCTATTTCCATTCAATAAGAGCACCAAATTCATTTAGCTGCATTGATTACAAAGAGCAGAATTTCACTGACCTCAACTAATTTCAAAGTGCTTTTTATTTCTGCATATGTTGAAAATTAAAAAGGCAAAAATGTGAAGGAGCCAAAAACTGTAAATCAAGTATTTAGGAAGTGAAGACTGGAAGGTAACTTGCATTAAATTCATGAAAACTTTTATGCTCTTTCCATAAATGCTTTTTTTGTTTGTTTTGTTTTTTCTTCCAAACAATAACTATGGATCAGGATAGCGGCACTTGGAGTGCTTTTTGTTATCAGTCAATATTTTTTGATACTTAGAACCTGGTCCTAAGCCTAAATTGAGCTTAATTCTGCAATAAATCATCTGGATGCCATACATCTATAATATTTGGGATTGTATATTGTGTTTGTGTATTTATGCATGTTATAGAATTGATTTGCATAGAACATAAACTGTAAATAATGAGAAATAAATAGCTGGAAAAAAATTTGGTCCTAAGTGGCTCATGATGAATAACATTGGAAAATAAGGACCAACATGAAACCAAAGGACAGAGAGGAGACTAGGGCCTCCATATGCCTACAGAGTCTTCTACTGGGATCTCAAGAGAAAAAGACATAAAAGGAGTTTGAACAGTCTCAGAAAATGCTGAGGTTTAGATATTTTTGGGTTGTGTATACGTGTAACAAGAATTATTGCCAGCGGGCTTGGTTTTGGGGAGAGCAAATGTATATGCAATTTGAGTGTGGATCAAATACTGTATTTTTAGTAAATATGTAGATATGCACAGATATCTATAGAGAACTATTTCCCCCTGCTCATCCCCAAATTTTTATGATGTGGCTGGGCTCAAGTTAGTCTACAGTCCTCTGCTCTACCAGCTGAGCTATTGAAGGGTGCACTCAAGTTAGTCTTAGTCCTGCAGACAACTTTGTTAAACTGATTGTTGAAATAAGGAGGTAGGTTTACAACTTACCATGAAGGAAGGTGGAAATCGGAAGAATAGTTCTCTGACCCTGAGCTGGGCGGACTCCTGAGGGCTGCTGAGGTAAAATCAGCATTGCAGAACCCAAGCTACCCTATTTCTTTCCCAAATCAGCCTCAGGGTCCCCTTTCTAGCTTGCACACCCAAAGCAGCTCTTTGCAAGATCTGCAATAAGGGCCTAGATTGGAAGTGAATAAATAAATAAACAAGTTTATCCTTTTGCTCTTGGCTGTTTTACTCTCTCCTGGGGAAGTAAAAACATATGTGCATCACAGGAAAACTTACATTCTTAAAATCTGTAGGTCACTTTAACATTTTTTTGTGTAGTTTCAGTTTCCACAAGTAATTTGTCTTAGCGATGTAACTCTGTCCGATAAACAGTTCAACTTATTTATTTCAGATCAACTTATTTATTTCATTATGAATACATCCTTCCCACTTACTTTGCTAACTTTTCCCCTTCCCTTCCACACCCTTCCACTTACCTGCTTTAGGATAGGTACTAATAAGCAGGTCATCAGGCTTGGCTTGAAAATTCCAGATCTGATCCCAGGTGTCACAGGTGGGTGTGGGCTGAAGAATTCCCTGCACGTAGTCAAAACTTAGGCGCTCTGTTGCATCAAATTTCAAATCCTCCATCTTGTTTAAGGTCATTAGTGTCAGAAAAATCAGAATCTTGTTCCAGAAAAAGAGTTACCTCTCAGTCAGCACAAAGCTGCATTTCTGACATGGTCTGGACAAGGCAACACTCAGAGGAGCCCTGTCTGGGAGCGCCTGGTGCCTGCCAGCAAACAGGAAGGAAAGCTACAGGCTTCCTGGCTCCAGCTCCAGGGAGTGAGAACTGTTGTTCAGGACTTTGCGCACAGGCGTTTCCTACTGAGCCCCAGCCCTCCTCCCCGCCTGGCTATGACATCACACCAGAGGCGGTGACAAATTCTGATGGCAAAACCCTGCTCCAGCCCTGTCCCTCTCTGTCAGTTAAAAAGAGTTAGTGCCATGGTGTTTGTATTCCTGTTGTTTGTATCCCTCCTCTTTGTGTTTATAAAACAGTTCACAAATACTTTCATTTATTGTTTAATTTTAAGCAATTAAAAAGTTGCAAGTTGCCTGCCTGTGGAATTACAGGTTCAACACAGAAAGACTTCCCTGAAAGGCTGCAGGGACCTTTGTGCGGGGTGTTTACAGCGAGGCCCTCTGTCTGGACCTCCTGGCACAAACATCCCAAAGGGTCGACTTTGTTATTTTTTTAAGAGTAAAATAAATGATGCTCCACTGGAGAAGGCCCCCTTCCTTTTGTAGGCTAGTCTACAGTATCAGTAGGCGTGTCATCACAGCTATTAAAACATGTATGTCTCATGCGTGTACCCAGGCCATGCCACACGTGCTCCCTCTGGCAGCACCCCAGGCTTCCTCCCGCTCGATGCTGCCTTCCTTCTCCTGGAACTCTCTTTGGCTCTCGTGTCTGGCTCTCGTTTGATTTTTTTGTCTTTCTTCAGGTCCCAGCTTACATGTTTTCTTTCTGGAGAAGCCTTCCTTCACTTTCCACTTCATCTCAGGTAGGTCCCTCCTTGCTCACGGCACCTTCCCTTTCTTTTACAGCAGCTATCAGACTTCATTTTTCCTTGTTTACTTACTAGCATTCCGGTCTCCTTCATTACACTCTAATGCGCGTGAAACAGGGCCAGGACTCTGTCTTGTTTTCTCACTGTTTACCAGCTATATGCCCAGTGCCCGGAATACTATTCATACTATTTCTTGAGAGAATGGGTAAAACTAAACTAAAATTGAGGAAGTGAGTTCTTTGGGCCACCGTGATGTGGGGATTCGGTGAGCGTGGTGACTGTGGCTCTGCATTCTGCTGACGGAAGTCAGGCTGCCTGCGTTTGAATCCTGTGCCCTCTTCTGGTAGCTGTGGGCAACGGCAAGTTACTTTTTTTTTTTTTTTTGAGACAGAATCTCACTTTGTTGCCCAGGCTAGCAACCTCAAACTCCTGGGCTCAAGCAATCCTGCTGCCTCAGCCTCCCAAGTAGCTGGGACTACAGGCATGCGCCACCATGCCCGGCTAATATTTTCTATCTATATTAGTTGGCCAATGAATTTCTTTCTATTTATAGTCAGCCGGGGGTCTCACTCTTGCTCAGGCTGGTTTCGAATTCCTGATCTTGAGCAATCCACCCGCCTCAGCCTCCCAGTGTGCTAGGATTACAGGCGTGAGCCACCACACCCGGCGGGCAAGTTACTTAATCTCTGTGTTTACACTTCACTTTCCTCATGTATAAATTGGAGATCTTAACAGTATCCACCTTATATTGTTGTTTTAGGGGCTAAAATCGTGTGTATTTAGTGCTTGACAACAGGGAAATGTTCAATAAATTGTGGCTATAAATAATAATGAATGACTATAGTTCCATCATATCTGGATGCAAACTCAAGAAAGATCAATTCTTTGGCTTCCCTGTTCCCCACCCCCTCCCTATTGGCTGTGGTGAGGTGAGTGGACACTTGGACAGAGACTGCCCAGTGGAATTCTTGACGCTCATCTGCATTAGAAAGACTTACAAAAGTTGTCTATAACTTTTCAGTTAGATTTCATTCTATAATCTTTTCAGTCCTATGTGCTCCCAGAGTAGGGTGATAGATAGTTCAGTGATATCTTATCAGTTTTGTCTAATGCATTGTGTGCTAGAGATGGAGAGCTGAAAGATGGAGGGGGGAATATGCTCCCCCACCCAAAAGATGGCTGGTTGGGATTGAAAACAGACCCAGGGAGAGTTGGAAGTTTCAAATAATTTGTTAAAGCCATAATGAGATTGCCATCTTATACCAGTCAGAATGGCTTTTATTAAAAAGTCAAAAAAGACAGAGATGCTAGTGAGGATATGGAGAATAGGGAACGCTTTTACACTGTTGGTGGGAATGTGCATTACAACCTCTATGGAAAACAGCATGGAGAGTTCTCAAAGAACTGAAAATAGAAATACTATTCGATCCAGCAATCCCACTGCTGGGTATCTACCCAAAAGGAAAAGAAATCAGTGCATCAAAATGATACATGCCCTTGTATGTTCATTGCAGCACTATTCACAACAGCAAAGACAGGGAATCAATCTAAGTGTACATCAGTGGACAAATAAAGGAAATGTGGTATATATACACAGTGGAATGCTACTCAATCATAAAAAAGAATGAAATCATGTCTTTTGCAGCAACATGGATGGCCCTAGAGGCCATCATTTTAAGTGAAATAACTTCAAAAGTTAAATACTAAATGTTTTCACTTATAAGTAAGTGGGAGCTAAATAATGTGTATATATGGTCACAGAGGGTAGAATAAGAGACATTGGAGACTTGGAACAGGGAGAGGGTGGAAGAGTGGGAGGGGGAGTATGGGATGAAAAATTACTTAATGGGTACAATGTGCACAGTTCCTGTGTTGGTGACACTAAAAGCCCAGACTTCACCACTATGCATTATATCCATGTAACAAAACTGTACTTGTGCCCCCTAAGTCTATTAAAATATAAAAAACAGAAAGTTTCAAATAATTTGAAACATGATATTGACTACAAATATTGTGATCTCATGTAATATTGTTACTCAATAGCACTTTCTTACAATGTTAGGAAAATTAAATAAAATGTTATATTTAATGATTATAAAAATAAAATTGGTGCTAGGTCTACATTTGGCAAACATTGCTTTGGAATTATAAATCTATTCTTTTTTTTTTATTTCAGCATATCATGGGGGTACAGATTTTAAGGTTTCAATAAATGCCCTTTCCCCACCTTCCCCCACAAGTCTGAGTCTCCAGCGTGACCATCCCCCAGTAAATCTATTCTTGAATTGAAACTGCCCCTTAATAGCTATGTAACCTTTCTAGATATTTAATCTCTTCCGAGATTTTTTTCTATTAATCTCACAGGGTTAACATAAAGACTGATGTACATAAAGTGTCCTACACTCTTAGCACACATTGAATACCAAAGATAAAGTTAATACCATCTCCTCCTCTAATTCTTCCCTGAACCTCTTTTTCGACTCTGTCACTGTTTATTTCTGGGGGTGGAAAGGAGATTCCAACTTTCAGTGCAATCTTTGGGTGTCTCCATTGGAAATTACTATCATGTTCAGGCTTAAAATGTGATTTGCTTGAAAAATTTATAACTGGGTTTGATAAACTGTATTTTTCTTAAGAAAATTTCCAATGCTGGCTACTGCACTTAAACAGGTTTTTGTTTGTTCTTACTAAAGGAATATGCCTAAATTGTGTTTTGATTCATCATACTGTTCTAAAAGACCTCCACTGGAGAGTGAGCTAAACCTGTGTTGAATAAAAGTGAAATTGTCTTCATTCTTTGAATTGATATTTAGCTTGGGCTAATTTTAAGTGGCTCATTTGTTGTCCAATACCTGCAACAAAATCAGGAGGAAAAAGGAACAACAAGACCACACAATAAAACTGGAATCAAATCCAGATTATGCAAGAATTAATAAACATCTATGGTTTATTCATAACTTGTTTCTTTTCCACCTTTTTCTGTTTAGATTGCCTTATGGCCATTCCATTTGGAGTACACTATTCCAGAAGTTGAGAAGGGAAAAAAATGAAACTCCAATGTATTGTATTACCCTTTGCTACTTTAATCAACTTTAGAGATTGGAGATAGTTGTGAATGCTTAATGAAGTGCAGCAAGGATGTAGGCAATCTTTAATTTCAGATAATTCCTTAAAACATAAACCCTTATAGTCTCAGAAAAGTAAAAAGCTGTGTCAAATGGTGGGTCATGTAGAGGTGCCAGATTTAGCAAATATAAATACAGGATACTCAGTTACATTTGAATTTCAGATAAACAAAGAATCAAGTTTTAGTATGTGCATGTCCTATGCAATACTTGGTATTTATACATACTTAAAAGAAATCACTGGTTATTTATTTGAGGTAAAAATGTGACTGGGTGTTCTGTATTTTATCTGGCACCCCTAAGTTGGGGAGGAGTTGCTGGCCAGGTCTAACTCTAAATCAGAAAAACTCTGGAAGCTTAATGAGTGGGATTAGAAACATGAGTGAACCAGAAAGCCCTTCAGAATCTCACATGAGCTGAGTGACCTCCAGTCTCTTTTCCCCTGGCTTGTGGGGAAGTGTATGCTGTTTGCACTTTCCAGTTATTAGCATCTCTGTTCATCTCTTCTCTGGGCCTAGAGATTTGCCCAGCTTGTTTTGTTGCTGGGTAAGGAAATGACATATAAAATTCTTGGTGTGATCAAAGTAGTGATTTAACAGAAGTTGGCATCAGTTGAGTGTCTTAGATGAGATTCTTCTGTGTGCTCTGCCCTGAACTCTCCTTATTGGCTTTCAAGGCACTTTATGGCCCAGGATTCGGCTGCTTTCAGAGATTAAAAGCTCGGAGAAGATAGTGGTCAGCATTGGCAATGGGAAGAAAGAATGGAGACCTAGAGCAGCAAAGACTTGACCATTAAGGAAGAGAACCCTAGAGAAGATGAAATGGGGAGAGGGAACTGCCATTTTATTAAGTGTTTTTCTATGTGCAGGATCTCATGACTGCCCCAGTGGAAAGACACAGTCTCTGCCATCAGGGGATTTACAGTCTGACGCAGGGGTTGATATGTAAACAAGCAATTAGAATAGAGTATCATATCAGCTTTAATGGAGATGTTGACAAAGTGTGCTAGAGCACTGGAGAAGGAGCACTGAAGTCATCTTGGAATCAAGAGAGGTCTTCCAGAAGAGAGGACACTTAAACTGTGGCTTAAAGGCTACACTGGGGTTGGCAAGTGGGTGAGGGAGGGCATGGTGTTCTAGGCAGAGGAGCCAGCATGTGCAAAACCATGTGGCTACAAAGGTTTTTATA